GCAGGGTGGGTCCCCTCCAACCTCTCCAGTTTCATACACAGAATTCTGAGAGAACTTTGGCTTGGAATACGCTCTCCAATGCCGTATGAGTTCCTAAGGAGCAGAAACCCCCTCAAAAAAGCCCAACACCACTGCATTCCCTCCGCTACACCAGGGCAGGCTCTGGCCACCTCACCAGATGAGGCTGGGGAAGATACCAGCTCATGGTGCCCATCAGCCAGGTGCACAAAACATGGCCCGGAGCTGGGCAGGGGGCTGCAGGAAGCCATGTGTGGGAGCCCCAGGGTCCCCTCGCCGCTGGTCTGCTGGGTACCTGTGGCGCCATCACTTATTTAGCGCTGCACCCATCAATAATGCACGGCCAGTGCAGGGAGGCCGTGCACAGAGACTTTGCGTCCTCAGCCAGAGGCCAAGGTCGCCCTCCAGGCAGCGCCACGTGGGGCGCCCCAGGCCCACTCCCGCCTCACTGCCTGCAGGGTTCTCACAGTCGCCCTCAGAGACCTCAACTCCAGTCCAAGTTTTCAGCTTCCTCCAGTTTCACTGACCTCCTCCGGATTCTGCAAACTCAGACCGTAAAAATGTGGCAAGCAAGTACCAGCAGATCAGATCGGATCACGCGCCGCGGAGACACCGCAGAATCCAGGCAGGGAGCCTGCGCGGTCCTAAGCTCTGTCCTCACACAGCCCTTCTCCGAATAAACACCTCGGACTTTAGAAAGCCAGAGATAAGTTCCTTTTCTGTGACAGCCACACACTATGGAGGAACAACACGTAGGGGAGCAGGAATAGAAACTCTGCAGCATTCCTGAAGGGCCGGTGAGTAGCACCCTTCCCTGAACACACAACCCCTCTCGGCCTCGGCAACCCCACTGCTGGGAGTTTGCCCTCTGTACATCCCCTGATGGGTGGATCGCAATTAACACACAGCATTAACGATAAGCAAAACCAACAGGAACATCTTAGCATCGTTTGCAACAGCTCCCAGCTGCCGGGCAGCTCGCAGCACAGGGCTGGCACGGGAACCCACAGAGCATCCCTGGACAGGAAGAAGTGCACCTGCTGAGAAAGAATGCGACAGGTCTCCCTGCCTCCAGGGGTGCAGACCTCCGAAATCTAATAAGGAATAAAAGCAGAGTAAGTGCGTATATAAACATCTAAATAATCACTCTCGAGATTCTGGAAGGATACGTAAGAAAGGCCAGAGTGGCGACATCTGAGAGGCAGGCAAGAAACTTCTCGGGGCTGTCAGACTGACTGTTACTGTATTTGTTGTTTCACTGGCAAGAGTAACAACTATAGACGGCATTTTCTGTGGGGTCTGGAAGTACCCACTCGTTCTCTATAGGAAGCAGGCAGCCAGGGGGTTGGGGAGGCACTCCTCTCCAACCAGGAGCCTCTCCAGCCATAGCTCTGTAGAGTCCATCTCTGGAAAGCTAACTGGAGAAGGCAGGAGCACTTATCCCATTGTAAAAGTTACCGAAGAAAAATCAGAATGTTCTCCCCAGAGCTGGTTACTCTGTGATCATGTTCTTAGCCACAGAACAGAGAGAAGCTAAAATGTTTCCCATTTCAAAGTACGGCACCTGCCATTCTCCCAGGAGAAGCACAGAGGGTGGCTGCCCCAAGGGCTCCTTTGCCAGCTTAGCACCTGTGCCTGTCAATCTCAGAATACCCAGCAACTCTTCCCACTAAAACCCCCTCGAGAAAAAGAGGTTTTCGATGTTGAAGATCTTGAACTCTGGTACTTATTCCATCAGAAAACTACCTCCCACACCACTGCGGGTATAGGAACGAAGAAAGGAAATCCGGCAATCCTACCTTGGTTCTACTGACAGTGAGTCCATGACCTTGAAACTGGTCGAGGAGAAGGGACTCACTTGTTATCAAGCAACCCTTCCATGTTGAATAAGAACTACTCTGATGGCATCTTCACTGTCGACGGTCACAACCCCTACGTATTTATTAGAGCTTGTGGACTGAATGTGTCCATTCACCTATCTACCTGGTGGCTTTACCGATGACTCTGGAAAGCACGGCCACATGTCTGAAAAGATGGGGTATCTACTTCCTGAAACCTGCTACCATGAAATCTAATTTTATGTAAGCGTTCTAACAGAAAAAGTGATTACACCTTCGGTTGTGAAGAGCAAAAGTAATTAGTGAAATGAGCACGCGATACGGCCGTGTGCACTGAGCTGTCTCTGGTACTGAAAAATGACACCAAAGCTGAAATTTCCTCAACTGTGCTCACCACGGCCCCCGGTGACTCACCTGAACCGGGTACAGACATTTTATGAAAGGTCACCCTGACTCCCCTTCCAAGCCCCCCACAAAAACGCCAGCACCTCCCCAAGCTTCGATAACAGCGCCAGAGAGAGGACAGAGGGCCAGGGAGCCAGCGGAACGCCTGACATTCCCTGAGAGCAGGGGCAACCACATGACGCACCAGAAACCGCTAGAAGCTGGCATGAGCCGAGCACCACACTCACACGCTAAGAAAGAGCTTAGAGGCTGTGGCTTTAGGGGACGTGCTGCACCCAAGGACAGGCTCTGCGTGCCAGCCGTAACCCCTGCCGAGCTCCCCGAGCCAAGGGCAGCCACTATATTTGGGACGCTTTAAACTAAAACACGCCCGGGAGCCTGACACTTTTCAAGGAAGAACAGCACCTCCGACAGTGATGCTGGGGTGACATCCAAGGGGGGCACGACTCAGCGCATGCCAGGCCCGCCCCCAGGACTCCCCGAGAGAGGGGCAGGCTGCAGCCTCCCTGCTGTCTCCCGGCTCAGGGTCTTCACAGCCCCCTTTCCATGTCACTTGCCTGCTTGGGAGGGCAGCCAGGATAAGAACGCAGGGAGAAACCCCACTGCATAAGACCCCGAGAGGAAGAAGCTGTGCCCAAGAGAACCAGAGAGACCTGAGACTCCATCTTGGAATTACCCTTCACTGTGGCGGGTTCAACAGAAACCAAAAACCATGGAAAATGGCCTGAATTTTTACAAAACCCAAGATTTTGCAGTGTTTGCACTAGTCAACAGGCAAGGAGGCCCCTGCACTCATTCCCCAATGGTCCACTCTCTTCTCTCTCTCTCTCGAGGTCTGCAGAGACCCTCATCACACCCACGCGTCTGCAGACCTCCCCACCCCAGTCTCCAGGAAGAACCAAGGGACAGAACGCTGCCCACCATGAGATTTCCCGGGTCCTAATTGGTTTCAGGTTCTCACACAGGGTCGCTTTCTCTAGAAGGAGACAGGCTCCCACAGCCCCTCTGCGGATCCCATGTACAACCTGCCACGCTCTCTCAGTACTCTTTCAGAAGTCAGTGTTTTCAAGACACCTTGTTCTTGAGATCCACACCAACACACACCCTCCTCCAGAAACACTGGCTTCCTCGCGGGCAACACTAGGAAAGCTGACGCTTAACGCACAAGACCACTCTAACAGCAGGACGCGTCTTCAGTGACTTGATTTGGTCAAACACATAAGAACACATCAGAACACACAGGTCACAAACCAGACTTTCGGATCTACAGGGACACCACAGACAGAGCCATGTCTGTCTGTGTTTTGGGCTCTGCCAGACAGCAGCAGAGCAGTGCGGGGGGGCAGCCTGGGGCACAGGCTTAGAGCTGGCTTTGCCCCTGACTGGCGCTCTCCTCTCTGGCTCCAGCTTCCTCACCTGCGGACTGAGCCCACGGCCCCGGACCCCCAACTTCTTCCTTCCTGCTTGGCCCTCGGTACCGGCAGCCGTGTTTGTCCTGTCAAAGTCCCACTTCAGAACCCTGGAAATGGGCTCCAGAGCCCCAGATCACCAGCACTGAACTAAAAATGGGTCTGCTTAAACAATCCCAATTTTTAAAAGATCTAAATAACGTGTGCCTTGTTTTGCAACTGCGGCTTTATTCCTTTATATCTCCCTAATCCTCATCCCCTCACCTCTCCCCTGGAAAACACACTCTGCAAACCTTGTGTCAACACAAGGGCAAGGTAATGGAATGTCCCCCTCCTCACCTGGGGTCATCCGTGCCCCTGTTTTCTTTGAGGAATCCTTAATGCTAGCTTCTTCCCTACATAGTATGTATTTCCTAATCGCTAACTTAAAGTAGCGTAACTTAAATGAATACTCAATTACTTAAGTGGTGAGCCCTCCACACCGTTTTAAATCCAAGCATAGCCTAAAAAAAAAAAAAAAAAAAGAGAGAGAGAAAGCAAGCAAGCAAGATCCATCATTGCAAATCCTAAGCTGCAAAATCTCAATCTAATTTTTGAGAACTAGTTATTAATTTAAGAACTTATTCCTTTGCCCATGGGCTACAGTGCAGCAAACAAGTAACAAAATGACCTGTCAATTTTGTGGCCAGTATTCTGACGCTGCGATTCACCGCCAAACCCAAGAATAGAGCTCCGTCCGCATTTAACCTAAACAAGCATTCCCTGGGAACGCAGCTCATGGGGGCTGGGGCTGCAACTCTCAGATGACACCTGGGGAAAAAACGCGTAATGTTTTTGCTGAGAATCAGACTACTAGGCAACGCATAAGGAACCTGTATTCTTCACTTAGAACAGGTTATTTTTTCCTAAGAGAACATCGGGGTCTAGGTGTATGAAAGGGCCAGAACGCTCCTCATACCTTATTTATAGAAATTATTAGCTGCCTCTTCCCTAAGCAAAGTTACAGCAGAATGTGGAGGGACAACACCTCCCGTGAGGGTCACTGGCCATGGTCAGGTTTGTCAAGCAGGGACACACAACCCTTGCCCCTAAGGTGAAGGGGCGGATCCACCTAAGGCAGCCAGGGCTAAAACACATTCCAGAAACCATTGCGTGTGTCCAGGCGGCACTGCCTCGTGTTGTTTTCCACTTCTTGGAAGGGCCGGTCAGGTGCTCACCCAGGAACACAGCCCCGCGTGTCCTGCAGCCTTGGGCAAGGACACGAGTGCCCGGGGAGGAAGCCGGGCCGCCCTGCGCTCCTGCAGGCTGCGCGGCCGGCAGAGCCTGTTACCTGGATTTCCCTGGCGTGGTACACGATGATCAGACCGAGCAGGATGACGGTGGAGAGACTGATAAGGCATTTCAGAGCTAAGGAGTACAGCGACGCCTGCAACACAGTCAGACACAAGCACTTTTAAGAACCCACCCTCCGGGCCCCTGGAGATGGGGTGGTCCCCGCAGGTGGACCCGCGCTCGCAGCAGGGCAAGCGGGTGTGTGTGAGTGCGGGGAATGGAGGGGGGCACCCCTTGTCCGCGGAGCTAAGCGAGGGGCGCGCAAGGCTGGGCGGCCGGGTCCGCGCCCGGAGCGCCGCGCCCGGCCAGTGAACCCCGCGAGGAAGTTCCTCGGAGTCCAGCGCTGCTCCTGGTCAGCGGCGCCCCCCACCCCCACCCGGCATCCGAGACGACCGCAGCCTGTGGTCCCCACCGACTCCCAGCGCACCGCTCGGGGAACTTTGGCGTCCTCGCCGAGCTGCCCAGCAGCGCCCCTGGGCGTTCCCGGCGCTCCCGCCGGGGTCCCCGCAGCGGCCCGCGCGCGTGTACCTTGTCGTAGGCGCCCCAGGACAGCTCGGTCTCGATGACCATGACCACGATGCCAAACATGCCGAAGATGAGCGCGTAGTCGCTGAGCCGCTTGCGCTTCTCGAACAGGGCGCGCCGATGGCCCAGCTTGTAGCCGATGTTCTGGTTCTTCTTCTTGCTGGGCTTGGGGCCGCCGCCGCCGCCCGCCCCGTACAGCGCCAGGTTGTTGGAGTTGTTGTGCTCGGGCTTGGACACCACGATCTCGGGCGCCGGCGACGAGGCGGCGGCCGCGGCGCACGGGGAGGACGCGCCGCCGGCGCCGGGAGCGGGGGGCTGCAGGGGCTGCGCCTCCGAGTCCATCTCGTGCAGGTTCCGGCGGGACGCGCTCAAGTTGCTGAGCGGCCGCATGACGCCCCCGTTGTACCTGCAGCTGCTCATGGCTATTTCGGTGAAGGGGTTGCTCTCGCGGCGCGCCTGGGGCGCGGGGTGCTGGTGGGGCGCGGGGTGCTGGTGGTGGTGGTGGTGGTGGTGGTGCGCGAGCGGCGGCCCGGAGCCCAGGCTGCCCAGGCTGCCCGTGGGGCTGGCGGCGAGCTGCAGGCGGAGGCACAGAGGGGACTGCGCGGCGGGCGCGGGCTGCGGCGCGGGCTGCTGCCGGCGCGCACTGGCATGGCTGGACGGCGTCAGCTCGCTCACGCTGAGCTGGCTGCCCCGGCGCGACGAGCAGCAGCAGCAGCACGACGAGCCCGACAGCGGCGAGGAGGTGCGGGTCCGCAGGGCGCCGCCGGGCGAGGAGCCGCGGAGCAGCAGGGACAGGTTATCCCCCGCCCCCGCCGCCGCCGCCGCCGCCGCCGCCGCCGCGGGCCCGGAGGAGGCGCAGCTGTTGCGCCGGAGGCATGGGCTGCTGCCGCCGCTGCCGGGCGGCGGGTGCGCCAGGTGCGGGTGGTGGTGCGGGTGCGGGAGCGGCGCGAAGGGCGCGCACGGCTTGTCCTGGCTCGGCGGCGGCTGCTGGCAGTGCAGGTGCGCGGAGCGCGGCGGCGGCGGCTGCTGCTCCGGGAAGAAGCCGCGCTGGAACTGCAATGGGGTTTCCATGTCAGGGCTGTTAAAGCTGCAGGGAGACCAGGCGGTGGTGCACCCTGCGCAATGCGTTATGGTCGGGAGCGGGGACTCCTGCCGCTGGTGCGAGGAAGGGCCCATGCCGGCTCCGGTAGAATCCAGGCGGCGAGTCCGATTGGCTGGGCGCACCAAAACAATGGGCATGACATCACCTGCGGGGACCGAGACCGAGCTGGCGGCGGCGGGCGGCGGGGGGCCGGGGAGGGGGTCTAACGGGGGAAGCCTCGGGGCGCACGCCCGGCCCGTACCAGGCCGCCCGCTCGCCGGGACCCACCTGCTGCTCCGGAGCGCCCCGGGCCCTGTCGGGCGCCGGGAGCCCCCGTGCGCTGCGGCCGTGCTGCGGGGGCGACCGAGACGGGAGGCGCGCCCTGGCCGCCGCCCCCTGCCCGGGGCCGGGCGCGCTGCCCTGGCCACCTGCGCCCTGCACTGCAGCGCGTCGGGCCACCCCGGCCATGGGCACGCGCGGCGGAGCCCGTGCGGAGCCCGGCCCGCTCCCGCTTCCTTATGCCCCTGAGCGGCGATGCAGCCGCCCCCTCGCCCCACGCACGCCCCCTCCGAGAGGGGACAGCGGCTGGGTCCGCGTGGCGGCGTCTAGGCTCGGCCGCTACGGGCGCAGCCTCTGGGATCCGCGGGCGGGCGGGCGGCAGCGGCCGCGCTGCGCTCTGGCCCGGCGAGCCGAGGCGAGGGAAGGGTTAACCGTGCGCGCCCGGGCGGGGCCGGGGGAGGGGATCCCCGGCGTCCGCGGGCGGGGCCGGCGCGGGCTTCCCGGGTCCCCCCGGCGGGGGCGGAGGGCTTTCCCCGCCACCGCCCGCTCACATGCGCGCCTGCTGCGGAACATGAGGGGCTGGCGCCCCCCGCCGCCAGCTCCCGACGTCGGCGCTCAGGGTCACCGGCGGCCGCAGGGGCTGGGTCCGCGGGCTGCTCCGGCTGTGGGCAGGCGGCTCGCTTGCGGGTCTGGGGCTGCTCGGGCCGCGGGCCGCCAGCTCCTCGTGGGCTCCTCGTCCTCGTCCTCCTCCTCACCTGTAGCGGACACACAGCAAAGGCGGGTCACCCGCGCGCCACGCGAGCGCCCTGCTGCCCGGCTCGGGGATGACTGAGCGGCAGCGCAGCGGGCAGGCCGCGGGTTTGCTGGACACAGGGAGGATGGTGCTTTCTGTGTGCATCCCCCGAAAACACCAAGTGGTGCGCGCTGAGGTCGGGCGCCATGACACACCGCGGCGGGGGTCCCCACGTTCGCATTTCTTTGTGAATTGGAATCCCCGTCTCCCCCAGAACTAGCGATTGGCCAGCCATTCGTTTGCGTGGTAAACTGCGGGTCTGCAGTGCCATTTTTTTGTGTGTGATAGCAATGAAGATAATTAGACCCAGACGTTAGTGTGAAAGCGGATCGCCCTCATTAGGTAAGTGGAGTTCGCAGCGGGATCCAATTTCTTGATATTCTGCTAGGCGCTGCCCCAGGCTGCTGCCCTGGAAAGGGCCTGGGGGAGAGGGGGGAGGGAGCCGGCGTGGGAGTTCTCGGTGCCATTGAGTGAATAATTCATTTTAGGACGCGAAGGCAACAGACCCAGAAGAGAAGGGCAGGGAGTGGCGTTGGTGCCTGGGGGGAGCAGTGCGGGCAGGACTGGAATCGCCGTGGTCTCTGCCAGAATAGGATCCTAGGGCATCTTGTTTACCGGCTATTATAAAGGGGCGGGGGTGGTTGTAGTCCCCAAATCGTCAATAAAACTTGCTCTGAATCATGACTCTTGGTGAATTTGGGAAGCAGCTATTCAGTTCCTGGTCAGAAAGGAAATTCAAGTCCGGGATGGTGGTGCGAGGCAGATTAAGCCACCACCTGAGACCCAGCTTCCCAGCACTGGTTCTAGTCCCAGCTGCTCCACTTCCAGTCCAGCTTCCTGCGAATGCCCCTGGGAAGGCACTGATGCTGGCCCAAATGCTGCCCACGTGGGAGTCCCAGATGGAGTCTGGGGCCTTGAGGTTCAGACTGGCCCAGACCAGGCTGGTGCAGCCATTTGAGAAGCGAACCAGCAGATTCAAGATCCATCTCTCTCTCTCTCTCTCTCTCTCTCTCTCTCTCATATGCCTTTCAAATTTAATACATCAAAAAAAAAAAAAAAAAGAAAGAAAAGAAAAGAAAAGAAAAATCCACCAAGCAGAAAATCCATCAAACCTTTGTTAGCCCATCCAGACAAATGTTACAACGTCCTTCCAGCTGCTCTATCTACCCGCTTGGGAGAAAATGACCCACCCTTACAAATCTAAACCCTTAAAAGCAGTTAGATACGTTTCCCTGGAAGATGACACAGACCTCCCTCTCCAGTATCAACGCAGTTACCAGCACTCAATGAGACATACATTTCTAGAGTTACTAAAATGTCTTAAGAAAAACAGCAGATGCACGCTCTGTGCCCAACTGCCTCTGCCAGACAGCGAATGGAAGCCGGAGACTGCGGTCCACGGCGTTCAGGCTTCCTGAGGTCCCCTAGGGAGGAAGCAACACACAAGACACGCAGGACCGAGCCCACAGCACGTGGAACTGCCAACCCCAAACCCACACAGCAGCACTCAGCCCGGCCGGCACTGCGGGAAAAGCTCCCAAGACATGATTTTTGCAGAGGGGAAACAGCAGGCCAATCAGACCCTACCCCTTTTCCCTAAAGGAATCTGATCACACACGCACTCAGAAATCCATCTGGCCAACACGCATCTGCACTCGGAGAGCGGGATGACCGTCAGCATGACGAGGGAAACCCAAAATACAAAGCCGGCAACTCCGTGTTTCCCTCCGAGTCTGGCGCACCCTACACGACCAGGTTTGGATGGGGTCCACTGCAGAAGTTCCTGTGTGGACCTTAAGAACAGGCATGCCGTATTCTGCTTGTTTTTTCCTGGGTGGGACCGTGGGTTCACACGAACATGCAAGGTTGACAGTTACAGCCACAGCCACAGTCTTGCACGTGGCCACGGCTTTGCACGTGGGAGCTCTCCAGTTACATTGTGAGTGTGAGGAGGGGAGGAGAGAGGGAGGAAACATGGGAAGCTTTACAGAAAGGACGCAAATCAAGGGCCTGCAGCGACCAGCGGTGAGCGTGCAGAGCGTGCAGAAAACGGCGTCTGAGCTGTTCCCTCCACAAAGCGCGGCAAGTGCTGGAATTCCCTGGATTAACACCAGAGGTCATCCTCGCCCACACAAAGCTTCCCACCTCCCATCAGTTAAGTCTCTGGATTTCCAGCACCGTGGTTTTGGTAGAAATTACATCTTTTCTTTATGGCCTACAACAGTCACTGTCCTACACACATAAACCCTTATACACACCCTCACACACACGTACCCTCACACAACCACATACTGTCATACACATATCCTCACACACACATCCTCACACACACATCCTCACACACCAATACCCTCACACAACCACATACTGTCATACACACAGCAACACACACACATCCTCACACACACCCTCACTCACCCATATATCATACATACACACATCCTCACACACCTATACCCTCATACAACCACATACTGTCATGCACACACATCCTTACACAACCACACACACACCCTCCTCCTCACTTGCTCACTTCTCCCCCTTACTTGCACAGCCCCTCCACCCTCACACACACACACACACCTTCACACACCTAGATCCTCATACACCCACACACCATCAAACACACACATCCTCCTCCTCACATGCTCCCACTTTCTCTCACTCCCACAGACCCTGCACCCTCACACCCACCCACACCCACATACATATACCCTCATACACATACACCATCCCCACACACAGCCTCACATACATCCAAACCCTTACACACACACACACACATACGCCTTCACCACACATACACCCTCACACAACCACACACCCTCATACACACATAACCTCATTCCCTCACACACACATAAGCCATTACACATACTCCACACACATACACCCTCACACAACCAAACACCCTCATTCACATCACTGACACATCCTCACCCACACACCCACATAAACCCTTGCACATACCCCAGACACACTTTCACACACACATGTTCACACATGCTCACACACACACACACTCACACACATCCTTAGAGACATACCCTCACACATACCTCACACACATCCTCACACTTACCTCAACACATACACACTTGCTCACACACCCTCACCTTCACATTCTCACACACATATCCTCACATATACCACTCACACACATACATGTTCTCATACACCACACAGACCCTCACACTCAAATCCTCACACATGCCACTCTCACACACATGTCTTCACACAACCACACACACCCTCACACACATGTTCACACACACATATCCTCACAGACACACCATCACTCACACACACATATTCTCATACAACCAGACACACCCTAGTACATATTTTCACACACACATATCTTCACACACACACACACTCACTCACACACATATCCTCACACACAGATATATCTTCACACCCTCCACTCACACACATACATATCCTCATACAACCGCACACGCCCTTACACCCACACGCTTTCCTGGCACAGCGACTCCTAAACTGCAGGCGTGGGGAACACTGCACAGTGTCTGCAGTGCCCCCTGCATCTGCCTCAGTTTCTGTTACGCCACGCGGTGCGTTTCCTTCCCTCATGGGGAGCGCCTGTCTGCACCACAGCAGCAGCCTCTCTGGGACTGGGAGTCCCTGCTCCACGTCCAGCGGCATCCCAGCACAGATCCAGGTGGCTCTTGCGCACGCGCGAGGTCTGGGAGAGCCTGGCCTACAGCATCGGTGTGTGTCTGAGCTTGACCTCCTCCTCTGCTGGGCTGAGTCCAAAGGCACAGCGGGGTCTCCTGTCCTCTCTGCACTCACCTCCCCTAGCGCGCAGTCCCAGGGGGGAATCAGCGGGTCATCAGTCCTGCTCTCAGCACAACCTCGCTGCTTCCTGAACCCTAAAACACCACTGTTCCGCAGGCGCACACTGTCCTAAGCACACAGGAGATACACCACATTCACAGAAACCATGGAAAGAATCATCATCATGCGCATTCTTCACTGTCACTCCCTTCTGTAGTCCTCCCGTGTATCCTACCGTTCCTGAGCCGATTAGCATATCCAGGAGGGTTTCTGTGGTGCTGCACCTGCACACGCACACGCACACACAGTCAACACCCTGCTGCGTGTGGATGCCGAGGGTACTGCCGGCTGCGTGAGTCACAGCTCGTCCGTGGCACGGCACTGATGGGAGGCGGGAGACGCCCTCGGAGCTGTGACACAATGCCAGGCCCCCAGGCCCTGGGGGTGTGCTCTCAGACACAGGTCTCCAGGAAGCTCCTGAGCTCCTGTGAGAAGGCTGTTAGGAAAGCCCGAGTCTGTCCCCAGCCCCTCTCTCTGCTCGTGGCGTGAGATGTGGCCGCTCACTTGATGCCCACCCCGGCCACCGCCATGCCCTCCACCGCCGGCTCCTCCCCAGGCCCCAGCTGTGCAGGCACCACGCCCTGCACCTCCGAAGCCGGAGCTCCACCAGCCTCTCCTGTCGGCTGCCTCGGGGGCTTCCTTGCAGTCATGCGAAGCTGACTCACACTCACTGGCATCTTGTCAGGAGAAGTGCACTTGCAGCCATTAAATGGGTGAACAGTTGAAACTGCTGACCCTAAGCTCTCTCTTTAAATTCTCCTGTGGATTGTAGGAACAAATATCCCTTGGCAGCTAAAAACACATGCCCAAATCTTAACAGGGAGAAACCACAAGTGGACAGCTGAGACGTGGTTTCCAAAGCCGTCTCTCACGTGTTGTCTGAGGTCCATCTCCCAACAGCTCATACGGGAGGTGGCAAACGTTTTGTTGTCATCTCCACCTTACAGGTGAGGATAATCCATGAGCTCCGGAGCCCCGCACATGCAAGGCGACAGAGCCAGCAGGCAGCCAGGAGAAGCAGAGGCCACGCAGTCCCCAGCCTGCAGGTGCATCTGATTCACACGATGCCCGCGTCTCCCCTCAGCAGAGGAACCGCCTGTG